ATTTTCAGATGTTCAAAATTAAGTTCGAATTTTCGAACTTGCCGAAATTGGTACAAAAGTGTACAAAAACAGCAGAATTTTTGTAATTTCTTATAAACAATAAACTAATTGGTTAATAGTGATTTTTAGATGTTCGAAATTAAGTTCGAATTTTCGAACATATCCTAAAACATTGAAATCGCAAAGAAAATGTTAAATTTACATATTTTCTTAATGTAAACTAAAATTTAACAGTTTGGGAAGAAATTTTGAAATTCGAAATTAAGTTCGAATTTTCAAACATGACTTTAAAACGTTAAAATTTTAAAGAAAAATTTTAAAATCATAAAAATTAAGTTGGAATATTTAATAAATAAAAAAATTGTATAGAAATTAAACTCAAATCTTCGAAAAAAAAAAATCCGTTTAAGAAAAAAAAAACTCAATAAGAAATGAAATCTACATAAAAGTAAAAAATAAAATTCTTATAAAAACTTACCATGACTCTGTTGTTCTGAATGTTGCACCGCACTAACCGGTACCATTTGACCACCCGGCACTAGAGCGGCCGTCGATGATGATGTTGAACTAACGGAAGGCGAAGATATTGCTATACTACCAGTTTGTACCGAACCAGCACCCGTATTGGTACCCTCATCTGTGGTACGCTTAAAGAAATTATGCTGTAACGCATAATACGGTGTGACACGTGTCTTCGGATCAAAATCCACATTCGTAATATTAAGTCTTTGAATTTTAAATAGTCTCGCTACCGAATGACCCGGCTCATCCATACGTCGACCACCCGGCCGCCCGTTTCAGACGCCCCAGTATATCGTGGTAGTTTACGTGACCCAGGCGGTTTGTATTTACGACCATTTTGACTTTTCTTCAAAACAGTCGAACCATCTGAGACGATTTTATCGAAAAATTTACGAGTCTTGTGCGCTTGGATCGAGCAGATGATTTGGGTGGCATACCCAAGACCTCAACAATTTTATTCATTTGATCGACTTCATTACAGCCGGAGAATAAAGGTTCGCCAGTATGCATTTCCACTAAAATACAACCCAAAGACCACATATCAATGGCCAAATCATAAGGTATGCCTAATAAAACTTCCGGTGAACGATAGAAACGTGATTGTATATATTGGTATAATCTGTTGATCAGGAGAAAAAGTGAAAATATTAGTGATTTTAAAGTTTAATAGCGTTAGAAATGTTAACTTATACCCTTTGACCCAATTGACAAGAACTGCCAAAATCAACATTTTTATGGCTGATCTTTTGGGATTACAAAGTAATATATTTTCGGGTTTTAGATCACAGTGGATTATATTCAGTTCGGGAGTACTCAAGAAGAGCAAAGCAGTGCATAGCTGTTGAGCAAATTTTCGTGTTAAATTCAATGAGACACACCACGAAAATTTGTATTACGTAATAAATCATATAAATTATAGGATAATAATTCAAATACTAAACATAAATGATTGCGCCCACATAAAATGCCGTTTAAGTTTAACTGCAACAAGAAAAAGTTTTGTTAAAAATATATATATATATTTCTTGAGGAGGAAGTTTAAACCTACCGATATAATATTTATTTTCTGCATCTGCACGATTCATCATTTCCAATAGTTTAACCTCAATTTGTGCCTGATTTAGGAACGGTTTCTTATTCTTAATTATCTTTATTGCTACATAACCTTGCTCTTCATGATCATAAGCCTTGACCACTTGTCCAAAACTACCTTTACCTATTAATGGAAAAAACATAGATTTATTATAAAACGCATTTCTATTTGGAAATTCATTTTCCCAACTTACCTATCAATGAATCAATTTCATAACGATCCAAAAATCTTTCACCATGCTTAATTATATAATCGTGATTATCGTCATCATAGCCATCATTATATAATTTACGTTCCTTTTTATTTGAGGAATCATCTTCGCCTTGTGTCTGTTGGGCACGACGTTTCTTTTTTGCATAGTAGACCTTTAAAGGAAAGAAAAATGTTTATTAAACGATAGTTTTTGTATCTTCCAAGACCCACAGATTTTGTGTAAAATAACATTTTATTAAAATATATAACATTTATTACCAAAAACAAGCTGTCTGTCAACTTCAATACTTCAATAAAATTAAAATAAATTTGTTTAGCAACAAGTTGGAAAATAATTTTAACCTTAAAAGGCAGAAAAATTCTAGTTCAGTATTAGTAAGTTCTAGTTCAATTCTAGTTCAGTTCTAGTTCAGTTCTAGTTCAGTTCTAGTTCAGTTCTAGTTCAGTTCTAGTTCAGTTCTAGTTCAGTTCTAGTTCAGTTCTAGGTTCAGTTCTAGTTCAGTTCTAGTTCAGTTCTCGTTCAGTTCTAGTTCAGTTCTAGTCAGTTCTAGTTCAGTTCTAGTTCAGTTCTAGTTCAGTTCTAGTTCAAGTACTAGTCAGTCTAGTTCAGTTTCTAGTGTCAGTTCTAGTTCAGTTCTAGTTCATTTCTAGTTCAGTTCTAGTTCAGTTCTAGTTCAGTCTCTAGTTAGTTCAGTTCTAGTTCAGTTCTAGTTCAGTTCTAGTTCAGTTCTAGTTCAGTTCTAGTTCAGTCTAGTTCAGTTCTAGTTCAGTTCTAGTTCAGTTCTAGTTCAGTTATAGTTCAATTCTAGTTCAGTTCTAGTTAGTTCAGTTCTAGTTCCAGTTCTAGTTCAGTTCTAGTTCTAGTTCAGTTCTAGTTCAGTTCTAGTTCCAGTTCAGTTCTAGTTCAGTTCTAGTTCATTAGTTCTAGTTCAGTTCTAGTTCAGTTCTAGTTCAGTTCTAGTTCAGTTCTAGTTCAGTTCTAGTTCAGTTCTAGTTCAGTTCTAGTTCAGTTCTAGTTCAGTTCTAGTTCAGTTCTAGTTCAGTTCTAGTTCAGTTCTAGTTCAGTTCTAGTTCAGTTCTAGTTCAGTTCTAGTTCAGTTCTAGTTCAGTTCTAGTTCAGTTCTAGGTTCAGTTCTAGTTCAGTTCAGTTCTAGTTCAGTTCTAGTTCAGTTCTAGTTCAGTTCTAGTTCAGTTCTAGTTCAGTTTAAGTTCAGTTCTAGTTCAGTTCTAGTTCAGTTCTAGTTCAGTTCTGTTCTAGTTCTATTCTATTTCTGTTCTAATTCTGTTCTAGTTCTGTTCTAGTTCAGTTTTAGTTCAGTTCTAGTTCATATCTAGTTCAGTTCTAGTTCAGTTCAAGTTCAGTTCTAGTTCAGTTCTAGTTCAGTTCTAGTTCAGTTCTAGTTCAGTTCTAGTTCAGTTCTAGTTCAGTTCTAGTTCAGTTCTAGTTTCAGTTCTAGTTCAGTTCTAGTTCAGTTCTAGTTCAGTTCTAGTTCAGTTCTAATTCAGTTCTAGTTTCAGATTTACTTCAGATCTAGTTCAGTTCTAGTTCAGTTCTAGTTCAGATCTAATACAGTTGTAATTCAGTTCTAGTCTAGTTCGGTTCAGTTCTATTCGTTCTGTTCTAGTTCTGTTCTAGTTCTGTTCTAGTTCTGTTCTAGTTCTGTTCTAGTTCTGTTCTAGTTCTGTTCTAGTTCTGTTCTAGTTCTGTTCTAGTTCTGTTCTAGTTCTGTTCTAGTTCTGTTCTAGTTCTGTTCTAGTTCTGTTCTAGTTCTGTTCTAGTTCTGTTCTAGTTCTGTTCTAGTTCTATTCTAGTTCTGTCCTAGTTCTGTTCTAGTTCTGTTCTAGTTCTGTTCTAATTCTGTTTTAGTTCAGCTATAGTTTTGTTTTAGTTCTTTTCAGTTTCTGTTCTGTATATACTATATTTTCATAGTGTTTAATTAAAAAGCGCCTAAAAGTATGCAACATTTTTGGCATTAACATTTAGAAACTTGAAATAATAAACCTAAAAGTGGACAATACAAATTTAAATAAAATTAAAGCCTATTTTAAGTATCTTAATGGTAAAGCTAAACATAGGCAACATTTCGTTTGTTTAAATTGTTAATTTATTTTCTTTTTTTCATGAGTTTTTGCGGGAACTTTTTTTTAAAGTTTCTGCTTTTAATTTATGTACTATTTCCCCTCCTTTAAAAAAATCAATATTCATCCAGCAACAGGATCATTTTTTCTCTAAATTCTCGGCAGTTAACAAAAAGAGGAAACATCTAAAGGAAAAATATTTCCAGATAAAAAATGGCAAATAAATCTACAAATGATAGCGAGGAGTATGTGAAAACAAAAACTTTAATTTGTGTGTTTTTATTATGATGTTTTTTTTTTTTTTTTTTTTTTTTTTTGCTAAAAAACACACACACTCACTTGCAAACTTTGTATATAGAAATGTAAACACAGGCAAAAGCGCATGTGTCTGAGGGAATAGAAGAAAATACAGCCACAATTAAAAAAAACATAACAGAAATTAAATAACAAAAAGAAAGTATACAATGCAATCATCATACCCATACTTTGGTAAAAAAAACGAAGAGCCTAGAATGAACAAAATAAAAAACAACATTCAAAAACTAGCAGTCAAACAGAAGATACCCATGGATAGACAAGCAACCAGCCAGTCAGCCAGCCAGCCAACAAAAACACACATACATTTACACTCTCTACTTACAGTCTGACAGCCAGCCATTTAGACAACTAAACAAACCAAACTTTCTTCCCTATAACCATTGAATTTTATAGAGAAAAACCTTCTTTAAAGAGTCAGTCCGTCAGTCAGCCATCTAGCCGGCCTCCCCTTCTCTATACTTTTCAATTTCTACTTATACCAACCGACTAATACATTACATTTTGTATGTAGGAATGTAAGAGAGCAGCGAGCGAGCGACCGAGCACGTAAGTGAGTGAGTATGTGTAAGCTCACCCATAAAAGTATGCAATGAAAAATCAAAAATTGCAAAAAAGTTGTTGCTAACCCGTAGAACATTTAGAATTCTGGCTGTAAATGTATGTGTGAGTGTATGGCGACTAAAGCAGAAAAATAAAGATGTATAAGTAAAAAAACACCAACAAAAATGTATCGCACATATACCAAAAGAAACGAAAGTAACAAAAAAGCAACAAACACATGAAGTACCAAAGAGAGAGAGATATAAACAAACTCTCGAACATTTGCCCCCAAAAGGGGGGGATATACTACCAACAGGAACCTACAAAAACGTGATGCTGTAGACAGCAACAACAAAAACAAACACAAAATAAATAAATAAATAAATAATAAAACAATATTATTATTAAATATTAAAAACAACAAGGAAATATTTATGAAAGCAAACATTATAATAAACAAAACTTACAAAAGAAGCAGAAAAAATAAAAGAAAAACTAAAGAAATAAGAGAATATAAGAGTAACACTTTAGAGTTGCGCCTAAAAGTCTGCTTAGCTATTACAAAATTATACAGGAAAAGTAGTAGTAGCAGCAGAAGCAGCAACAAAACACAAACACTCTTACAACCAAACTTATATGGGATAAACGCTTAAAAATGGGTGTATGCCAAATGCAGTTGACGTTAACGTTTGCCGTAAGCGTCTTTAGTAAACTTCTCTCTCATCTACCAACAACAACAACAAGTAAAATTCGGAAACTGTTACTCTCTCTCTCTCTTTCAAAACAAAAAAGTGGAAGCTAAATTTTTGTGTACAACAATTACATTTACAGCAGCATATTTTTAGGGGGCATAATAAACAAAAGAACAGCTACAGAGATGAGAGCGAACAATTGAGAGCTTTAAAATTTTAAGTAAAATTTCCTTATTAAGTTTAGGCCATGCTAGGTGTTTGTCTTAAATATTAATAAAATTATGGCTAAAATAAACAAAACTTTAAAAAGGAAACTGGAATTTGTAGGAAAAACCAGAACACTTAGCAAATGAAATGTTAACAATTTTATGCTTAACTTGTTAGTATAACAAGGCAGATGTTTATTGATTAACATTTATGGGCTACCAGATGGAGAAATTCAAATGCCCTACAACAAACTAGAAATTGTAAAAAGTAGAGGAAAAATATTTTAGTTCGTTTCAAAATCTAGTTATATTACAGTTCTAGTACAATTCTAGTTCAGTTCTAGTTCAGTTCTAGTTCAGTTGTAGTTCAGTTCTAGTTCAGTTCTAGTTCAGTTCTAGTTCAGTTCTAGTTCAGTTCTAGTTCAGTTCTAGTTCAGTTCTAGTTCAGTTCTAGTTCAGTTCTAGTTCAGTTCTAGTTCAGTTCTAGTTCAGTTCTAGTTCAGTTCTAGTTCAGTTCTAGTTCTGTTCTAGTTCTGTTCTAGTTCAGTTCTAGTTCAGTTCTAGTTCTGTTCTAGTTCAGTTCTAGTTCAGTTCTAGTTCAGTTCTAGTGCAGTTCTAGTTCAGTTCTAGTTCAGTTCTAGTTCAGTTCTAGTTCAGTTCTAGTTCAGTTCTAGTTCAGTTCTAGTTCAGTTGTAGTTCAGTTGAAGTTCAGTTCTAGTTCAGTTCTAGTGCAGTTCTAGTTAAGTTCTAGTGCAGTTCTAGTTCAGTTCTAGTTCAGTTCTAGTTCAGTTCTAGTTCAGTTGTAGTTCAGTTGTAGTTCAGTTGTAGTTCAGTTGTAGTTCAGTTCTAGTTCAGTTCTAGTTCAGTTCTAGTTCAGTTCTAATTCAGTTCTAGTTCTGTTCTAGTTCAGTTCAAGTTCAGTACTAGTTCTGTTCTAGTTCAGTTCTAGTTTAGTTCTAGTTCAGTTCTGGTTCAGTTCTAGTTCAGTTCTAGTTCATTTCTTGTTCAGTTCTAGTTCAATTCTAGTTCAGTTCTAGTTCAGTTCTAGTTCAGTTCTAGCTCAGTTCTAGTTCCAGTTCAGTTCTAGTTCAGTTCTAGTTATAGTTCAGTTCTAGTTATAGTTCAGTTCTAGTTATAGTTCAGTTCTAGTTATAGTTCAGTTCTAGTTGAGTTCTAGTTCAGTTCTAGTTCAATTCTAGTTCAGTTCTAGTTCAGTTCTAGTTCAGTTCTAGTTCAGTTCTAGTTCAGTTCTAGTTCAGTTCTAGTTCAGTTCTAGTTCAGTTCTAGTTCAATTCTAGTTCAATTCTAGTTCAGTTCTAGTTCAGTTCTAGTTCAGTTCTAGTTCAGTTCTAGTTCAGTTCTAGTTCAGTTCTAGTTCAGTTCTAGTTCAGTTCTAGTTCAGTTCTAGTTCAGTTCTAGTTCAGTTCTAGTTCAGTTCTAGTTCAGTTCTAGTTCAGTTCTAGTTCAGTTCTAGTTCAGTTCTAGTTCAGTTCTAGTTCAATTTTAGTTTATTTTAAGTGCAGTTCCATTTCATAGACATATGTACTTTAGTTTAAAAAAATCTATCATCTGGCAACATCAAACTTATGTTTTGAGCTCAAGTAAACATGTTCAAGAAAAACGCTTCTCAAACGAAAAATCTGCAAAACAAAATGTAAAAACTCTGCTGCACTCAACAACTCTTGCAAATTGATTAACCAAAACAAACTCACAAAAATACACATACACTCTAGCATACTTCACACTCCCATTCATAACAGCAACAACACATCCACCCCCACCCAGTAAATTCCAACACCTTCTAACGTTTTTGTTTTTTTTGTTTTGCAAACAAGAGAAAATTACAGAATGCGTTATTGTGGTGTATGCATGAGAGTGTATGGGTCTATTTGGAGCCCATTTTTATAAGTCTACCATTAATAAACAATAACAAAAACAAACAAAAGAAAAACAACAACGAAAATTAAACCGTATGCTTAGCGCCAGTCATTTGCACTCCAAAAACACATACAACCGACAATCCAAAAACAGCAGCAGCATCTTCATCATTATTATATTTTATTTACATCATTATCATCATAGATATTGTTATTTTTAACTTCATTATGGTGTGTTATGGAAATGAAAGTATTCAACAGCGTGTTAATGGTGTATATCCAGTTTTTCTTAAAAATATTTTTTAATTTTTTTGGAAGTATGTTTTTTGCACTTTTTTTTGGTGGTTTAATGTTTGTTATTATTCCAAGAGTAAATTTTAAATGTGAGAAATATAAATGACAAACAAACAGTTTAACTGCATATTTATGTAAATTAGAAAAATGAAAAAAATTTGATTTTATAGGATTTTTAGAAACATCTAACCAACTGAACTAGAAAAAACTGGAACAGGACTAGAAGAGGGCAAGAACAGAACTAAAACAGAACAGAACTAAACCAGAACTACAACAGAACTAGAACAGAACTAAAACAAAACTAGAACAGAACTAGAACAAAACTAGAACAGAACTAGAACAGAACTAGAACAGAACTAGAACAGAACTAGAACAGAACTAGAACAGAACTAGAACAGAACTAGAACAGAACTAGAACAGAACTAGAACAGAACTAGAACAGAACTAGAACAGAACTAGAACAGAACTAGAACAGAACTAGAACAGAACTAGAACAGAACTAGAACAGAACTAGAACAGAACTAGAACAGAACTAGAACAGAACTAGAACAGAACTAGAACAGAACTAGAACAGAACTAGAACAGAACTAGAACAGAACTAGAACAGAACTAGAACAGAACTGAACAGAACTAGAACAGAACTAGAACAGAAATAGAACATAACTAGAACAGAACTAGAACAGAACTAGAACAGAACTAGAACATAAATAGAACAGAGCTAGAAATGAACTAGAACAGAACTAGAACAGAACTAGAACAGAACTAGAACATAAATAGAACAGAGCTAGAAATGAACTAGAACAGAACTAGAACAGAACTAGAACAGAACTAGAACAGAACTAGAACAGAACTAGAACAGAACTAGAACAGAAATAGAACAGAGCTAGAACAGAAATAGAACAGAGCTAGAAATGAACTAGAACTGAAGTGGAACTAGAAATGAAACAGTACTGAAACAGAACTGAACTTGAAATGAACCAGAACAGAACAAGAACTCAACTTAAAGTTGCAATAGCCTTGATTCTCTTCCACACCAATTTTTTTTCTTACATTTGCACTTGGAGCAAACAATACACAAAGTATTAATTATTTTCGAAATACCCAGTACAAAGAGCCATAGCATTATTTGTGTGTATATTATTTTCGATATACAAACTAAAAAATTGAAATAAAATATAGAAAAAAAAGACAAAGAAAAAAGAATAACAACACAAACCGTATATCATTAAATCGACACATGTCGTTCAGTTGACAATGACAACGACAATAGCAACAACCCAATTGAACAAACTAAGAAATTTAAATAAAATTGAAGACCGTTAGTTTAGAAATGCCCTTGACCCATTTTTTAACAAAAACTAAATACAAACCACGCAGAGCACGTTTAAATCGTAATTGTATAAAATTAAATTTTTGTTCTTCAAAACAACTCATAGAAAACGATTTCTTTCTAAACATTTGCATTTGATGTTGTTCACTTATTTCGTTTTGATTAGAATTTTATTGTATTACAATACAAAGTAGAAAAAAAGAAATTGTTCGGAAGACTTACCTCATTTATATGCTTGTAGGTCTTGATTAAATCCACACTTAATTTTCTTAACGGCGCCGTTGCGGGATCACGAAAATGTGTTGGTATACGTGCTTGCATGGCGCGCACCTCTGATGAAGACGTTGGACTAGATCGCTGGAAAAAAAGAGCAATAACAATAAATTATTATAAAAAATCAAAACAAATCAGAAAAAAAAAAATAAAGAATGTAATGAAGAAGGTTAAAATATTTAGTGAAGTTCAAATAAAACTATAGTCCCTTACATGACCCTAAAAATTGTTCAGACTATTGACTACTATTAAAGTCGAGCTTAACAATAAAGCGCACTGTAGTCTGATATATAGTCTGGACTATGGTCTATTCTATAGTATGCACAATTGTCTATTATATAGTCTCGGGAGCAAGGGCTTTGACATATAATTTTTTAATATACAATTTAAACTATTATTGTTAAGTTTGGTACTGTAGTTTTACGATATTAATATTTGTTTAAGACATTACATTATAATCTTAAATATTTCCTATTAGTTATTTTAATATATGTTGTTCTTATAAAATTGGTTTCAAAAAAGTCTCAATAAATATAACTATAACTATAACTATAAAAAATCAAAACAACAAATCAGAAAAAAAAAATTAAAGAATGTAATGAAGAAGGTTAAAATCTTTAGTGAAGTTCAAATAAAACTATAGTCCCTTACATGACCCTAAAAATTGTTCAGACTATTGACTAAATTAAAGTCAAGCTTAACTAAAAAGCGCATTGTAGTCTGATATATAGTCTGGAGTACAGTCTGTAGTCTGGAGTACAGTCTATAGTCTGGACTATGGCCTATTCTATAGTCTGGACAATCCTCTATTATATAGTCTGACTATGGCCTATTCTGTAGTCTGACTACGACCTATTCTATAGTCTGGACTATGGTCTATTCCATAGTCTGAAATATGGTCCATTCTATAGTCTGGACTATACTCTATTCTCTAGTCTGGACTATAGTCAAACTAGAAGTCTAGAATATAGTCAAGTCTATAGTCCGGACTATAGTCTAGTCTACAGTCTGGATTATAGTCTAGTCTATAGTCTGGAGTATAATCTAGTCTGGACTATATATATTCTATAGTGTAGGTTATGGTCTAGTCTATATCCCGGACAATAGTCTAGTCTATAGTCTGAACTGTTGTCTAGTCTACAATGTGAACTATAGTCTAGTCAATATTCTAGACTATAGTCTGGACTTTGGTCTAGACTAGAGTCTGGACAATAGTAGACTATACTATTGTCTAGTCTATAGTCTGGACTATAGTAGACTATACTATAGTCTAGTCTATAGTCTGGACTATAGTCTAGTCTATAGTCTGGACTATAGTCTAGTCTATAGTCTGGACTATAGTCTATAGTCAGGACTATAGTCTAGTCTATTCTGGACTATAGTCTAGTCTATAGTCTGAACTGTAGTCTAGTCTACAATGTCAATAGTCTAGACTATAGTCTCAACAATAGCCTAGTCTATAGTCTGGACTATAGTAGACTATACTATAATCTAGTTTATAGTCTGGACTATAGTAGACTATACTATAGTCTAGTCAATATTCTAGACTATAGTCTAGTCTATAGTCTGGACTTTAGTCTAGTCTATAGTCTGGACTATAGTAGACTATACTATAGTCTAGTCTTTAGTCTGGACTATAGTCTGGACTATAGTCTAGTCTATCGTCTGGACTATAGTAGACTATACTGTAGTCTAATCTATAGTCTTGACTATAGTAGACTATACTATAGTCTAGTCTATAGTCTGGACTATATTGTAGTCTGATATATAGTCTGGACTACAGTCTATAGTCTGGACTATGGCCTATTCTATAGTCCGGACAATCCTCTATTATATAGTCTGACTATGGCCTATTCTGTAGTCTGACTACGGCCTATTCTATAGTCTGGACTATGGTCTATTCCATAGTCTGAACTATGGTCCATTCTATAGTCTGGACTATATTCTATAGTCTGGACTATAGTCAAACTAGAAGTCTAGAATATAGTCAAGTCTATAGTCTGGACTATAGTCTAGTCTACAGTCTGGATTATAGTCTAGTCTATAGTCTGGAGTATAATCTAGTCTGGACTATATATATTCTATAGTGTGGGTTATGGTCTAGTCTATATCCCGGACAATAGTCTAGTCTATAGTCTGAACTGTAGTCTAGTCTACAATGTGAACTATAGTCTAGTCTATAGTCTGAACTGTAGTCTAGTCTACAATGTGAACTATAGTCTATTCAATATTCTAGACTATAGTCTAGTCTATAGTCTGGACTTTAGTCTAGTCTATAGTCTGGACAATAGTAGACTATACTATAGTCTAGTCTACAGTCTGGACTATAGTAGACTATACTATAGTCTAGTCTATAGTCTGGACTATAGTCTAGTCTATAGTCTGGACTATAGTCTAGTCTATAGTCTGGACTATAGTCTAGTCTATAGTCTGGTCTATAGTCAGGACTATAGTCTAGTCTATAGTCAGGACTATAGTCTAGTCTATAGTCAGGACTATAGTCTAGTCTATTCTGGACTATAGTCTACAGTGTGAACGGTAGTCTAGTCTACAATGTCAATAGTCTAGACTATAGTCTCAACAATAGCCTAGTCTATAGTCTGGACTATAGTAGACTATACTATAATCTAGTTTATAGTCTGGACTATAGTAGACTATACTATAGTCTAGTCAATATTCTAGACTATAGTCTAGTCTATAGTCTGGACTATAGTAGACTATACTGTAGTCTAGTCTATAGTCTGGACTATAGTAGACTATACTATAGTCTAGTCTATAGTCTATAGTCTGGACTATAGTCTAGTCTATAGTCTGGACTATAGTCTAGTCTATAGTCTGGACTATAGTCTAGTCTATAGTCTGGACTATAGTCTAGTCTATCGTCTGGACTATAGTCTAGTCTATAGTCTGGACTATAGTCTAGTCTATAGTCTGGACTATTGTCTAGTCTATAGTCTGGACTACAGTCTAGTCTATAGTCGGGACTAAAGTCTAGGTATAGACTGGACTACAGTCTAGTCTATAGTCGGGACTAAAGTCTAGGCTATAGACTGGACTATAGTCTAGTCTATAGTCGGGACTAAAGTCTAGGCTATAGAATGGACCATAATCTAGTCTATAGTTTGGACTATAGTCTAGTCTATAGTCTGGACTATAGTCTAGTCTATAGTCTGGACTATATTCTAGTATATAGTCTGGAGTATAGTCAAGGCCATAGTCTGGAGTATAGTCTAGGCCATAGTCTGGACTATAGTCTACTCCATAGTCTGGATTATAGTATAGTCGATAGTCTGGAATACAGTCCAATCTAGAGTCTGGACTATAGTCCAGTCTTCTTTATATTTTGGTTAATATTCTAATCTATAGTCTGGTCTGTAGCATTGATAACAGTCTACATTCTAGCTTAGAAAATGCAACGTAAAACTTACATGATGCATAACATCGCGATGTGTAGCAGGAAGCTCTTCTTCACCTACAAAACGACCATATAGTGGAGCATGACGTTGACGTCCACCACCACTGCCAGCCTCAACGGCAGCTGCCGCACTGGATACATAAGCTGCAGACACTAGAAATAAAGAAAAAATATATAATTATAAACAAAAATTAATAAATTGTTGATGAAAACTAAATTGTTTAACAATATATATATATCGCTTGTTCATTCCCCAATTTAATGGTTATTTTATAAATAAATTTATGTTTTACAGCTGCAGGTTTTGTAATATACATATTTTTTAAGAAATCTTATAAAAACGACAAATATTTTTTTTTTTTTTTTGTATAATTTAATGAAAAATATTTCCGCTTGTGAAAACTAAAAGGGGTAACAAGTGTTTTTTCTTCTCTCGCATAAGTATTTTTTTACAAAAGAAGGATGAATGAATTGTTGGGCTTATAATTATGATAGAAACAAAAGATAAAGACGGCAAAAATGCAGCTACAACAACGGCAAATCTCATTCACCTAAATCTGTTAGATGCCAAAAAGTCTCGTTTTCCGTTTAGGTAGACATATAAATGACAGATTTTTTTCTATTTTACATTTCTCATTTCTATGTTTATCTTGTCTGAAGTTAAAAAAAAAATATGTATGTCGTTTGGGGGTATTTTTATAATTTTTTATTTATATTAAACAATACATAATAATAGTTTTATTGTAGCTGTGTTCATTTTGCTTAATATTACACAATATTTAGAGAGAAATAAGAAAAAAATGCCCATAAACATGGCACCATTTATAAGTAAATGAAGGAAAAAACTTGGAATGTTGGCAAAAATATTACAAAGTATTTTATATTGTCACCAACCGAGAAAAAACATTGATTACCTATTATTATGAACAGATGAAAGTAGCAAAAAACGGGTAAAGAAAGTGCAACTAAAAGTGGGTAACTAAAAAAACTGTTCCAAAAATACATAAGCACAATCTATAGTCGTGTCAATTGTCTAGTCTATAGTTCAGACTATAGTGTAGTCTACAGTCTGCTATATAGTCCTGAATTGAAACTAACTAACTAGAACTGAATTAGAACAAACTAGAACAGAACTAGAACAGAACTAGAACAGAACTAGAACAGAACTAGAACAGAACTAGAATAGAACTAGAATAGACTAGAACAGAACTGGACCATAACTAGAACAGAACTAGAACAAGAACAGAACTAGAACAGAACTAGAACTAGAACAGAACTAGAACAGAACTAGAACAGAACTAGAACAGAACTAGAACAGAACTAGAAACAGAACTAGAACAGAACTAGAATATAACTAGAACTAGAACAGAACTAGAACAGAACTAGATCAGAACTAGAACAGAACTAGAACAGAACTAGAACAGAACTAGAACAGAACTAGGACAGAACTAGAACAGAACTAGAATAGAACTAGAATAGAACTAGAACAGAACTGGACCATAACTAGAACAGAACTAGAACAGAACTAGAACAGAACTACAACAGAACTAGAACAGAACTAGAACAGAACTAGAATAGAACTAGAACAGAACTGGACCATAACTAGAACAGAACTAGAACTAGAACAGAACTAGAACAGAACTAGAACAGAACTAGAACAGAATAGAACTAGAACAAAACAGAACTAGAACAGGAACTAGAACAGAACTAGAACAGAACTAGAACAGAACTAGAACAGAACAGAACAGAACTAAGAACAGAAATAGAACGGAACTAGAACAGAACTAGAACAAAACTAGAACAGAACAAGAATAGAACTAGAACATAACTAGAACAGAACTAGAACAAAACTAGAAGAGAACAGAACAGAACTAGAACAAAACTAGAAGAGAACAAGAACAGAACTAGAACAGAACTAGACAAAGAACTAGAACAGAACTAGAACAGAACTAAACAGAACTAGAACAGAACTAGAACAGAACTAGGAACAGAACTAGAACAGAACAAGAAACAGAACTAGACAAAATGAACAGATACTAGAACAGGAAACTAGAACAGAACAGAACAGAACTGAACAGAACTAGAACAAGAACATAAACAGAACTAGAACAGAACTAGAACACGAACTAGAACAAGAACTAGAACAGAACTAGAACAGAACTAGAACCGAACTATAGAACAGAACTAGAACAGAACTAGAATAGAACTAGAACAGAACTAGAACAGAACTAGAACAGAACTAGAACAGAAACCAGAAAACTAGAACAGAACTAGAACAGAACTAGAACAGAAACTAGAACTAGAACTGAACTAGAACAGAACTAGAACTGAACTAGAACAGAACTAGAACAGAAACTAGAACAGAACTAGAACGACAGAACGAACTAGAACAGAACTAGAACTGAACTAGAACAGAACTAGAACAGAACTAGAACAGAACTAGAACAGAACTAGAACAGAACTAGAACAAAACTAGAACAGAACTAGAACTGAACTAGAACAGAACTAGATGAGAACTAGAACAGAACTAGAATAGAACTAGAACAGAACTGGACCATAACTAGAACAGAACTAGAACAAGAACAGAACTAGAACAGAACTAGAACTAGAACAGAACTAGAACAGAACTAGAACAGAACTAGAACAGAACTAGAACAGAACTAGAACAGAACTAGAACAGAGCTAGAACAGAACTAGAACAGAACTAGAACAGAACTAGAACAGAACTAGAACAGAACTAGAATATAACTAGAACTAGAACAGAACTAGAACAGAACTAGATCAGAACTAGAACAGAACTAGAACAGAACTAGAACAGAACTAGGACAGAACTAGAACAGAACTAGAACAGAACTAGAATAGAACTAGAATAGAACTAGAACAGAACTGGACCATAACTAGAACAGAACTAGAACAGAACTAGAACAGAACTAGAACAGAACTAGAACAGAACTAGAACAGAACTAGAACAGAACTAGAATAGAACTAGAATAGAACTAGAACAGAACTGGACCATAACTAGAACAGAACTAGAACAGAACTAGAACTAGAACAGAACTAGAACAGAACTAGAACAGAACTAGAACAGAACTAGAACAGAACTAGAACAGAACTAGAACAGAACTAGAACAGAACTAGAACAGAACTAGAACAGAACTAGAACAGAACTAGAACAGAACTAGAACAGAACTAGAACAGAACTAGAACAGAACTAGAACAGAACTAGAACAGAACTAGAACAAAACTAGAACAGAACAAGAATAGAACTAGAAAAAACTAGAAGAGAACAAGAACAGAACTAGAACAAAACTAGAAGAGAACAAGAACAGAACTAGAACAGAACTAAGAAAAGAACTAGAACAGAACTAGAAGAGAACTAGAACAGAACTAGAACAGAACAAGAACAGAACTAGAACAGAACTAGAACAGAACTAGAACAGAACTAGAACAGAACTAGAACAGAACTAGAACAGAACTAGAACAGAACTAGAACAGAACTAGAACAGAACTAGAACAGAACTAGAACAGAACTAGAACAGAACTAGAACAGAACTAGAACAGAACTAGAACAGAACTAGAACAGAACTAGAACAGAACTAGAACAGAACTAGAACAGAACTAGAACAGAACTAGAATAGAACTAGAACAGAACTAGAACAGAACTAGAACAGAACTAAAACAGAACTAGAACAGAACCAGAACAGAACTAGAACAGAACTAGAACAGAACTAGAACAGAACTAGAACAGAACTAGAACTAAACTAGAACTAAACTAGAACTGAACTAGAACTGAACTAGAACAGAACTAGAACAGAACTAGAACAGAACTAGAACAGAACTAGAACTGAACTAGAACTGAACTAGAACAGAACTAGAACAGAACTAGAACAGAACTAGAACAAAACTAGAACAGAACTAGAACTGAACTAGAACAGAACTAGATGAGAACTAGAACAGAACTAGAGCTGGAACTAGAACTGAACTAGAACTGAACTAGAACTGAACTAGAACTGAACTAGAACAGAACTAGAACAGAACTAGAACAGAACTAGAACAGAACTAGAACAAAACTAGAACAGAACTAGAACAGAACTAGAACAGAACTAGAACTGAACTAGAACAGAACTAGAAAGAACTAGAACAGAACTAGAACAGAACTAGAACAGAACTAGAACAGAACTAGAACAGAACTAGAACAGAACTAGAACAGAACCAGAACTGAATCAGAACAAAACCAGAACAGAAACAGAACTAGAACAGAACTAGAACAGAACTAGAAGAACTAGAACTGAACTAGAACAGAACTAGAAAAGAACTAGAACAGAACTAGAACAGAACTAGAACAGAACTAGAACAGAACTAGAACAGAACTAGAACAGAACTAGAACAGAACCAGAACAGAATCAGAACAAAACCAGAACAGAACAGAACAGAACAGAACTAGAACAGAACTAGAACAGAACTAGAACAGAACTAGAACAGAACTAGAACAGAACTAGAACAGAACTAGAACAGAACTAGAACAGAACTAGAACAGAACTAGAACAGAACTAGAACAGAACTAGAACAGAACTAGAACAGAACTAGAACAGAACTAGAAACAGAACTAGAACAGAACTAGAACAGAACTAGAACAGAACTAGAACAGAACTAGAACAGAACTAGAACACAGAACTAGAACAGAACTAGAACAGAACTAGAACAGAACTAGAACAGAACTAGAACAGAACTAGAACAGAACTAGAACAGAACTAGAACAGAACTAGAACAGAACTAGAACAGAACTAGAACAGAACTAGAACAGAACTAGAACAGAACTAGAACAGAACTAGAACAGAACTAGAACAGAACTAGAACAGAACTAGAACAGAACTAGAACAGAACTAGAACTGAACTAGAACAGAACTAGAAAGAACTAGAACAGAACTAGAACAGAACTAGAACAGAACTAGAACAGAACTAGAACAGAACTAGAACAGAACCAGAACAGAATCAGAACAAAACCAGAACAGAACAGAACTAGAACAGAACTAGAACAGAACTAGAACTGAACTAAACTGAACTAGAACAGAACTAGAACAGAACCAGAACAGAATCAGAACAAAACCAGAACAGAACCAGAACAGAACTAGAACAGAACTAGAACTGAACTAGAACAGAACTAGAAAAGAACTAGAACAGAACTAGAACAGAACTAGAACAGAACTAGAACAGAACTAGAACAGAACTAGAACAGAACCAGAACAGAATCAGAACAAACAGAACAGAACAGAACAGAACTAGAACAGAACTAGAACAGAACTAGAACAGAACTAGAACAGAACTAGAACAGAACTAGAACAGAACTAGAACAGAACTAGAACAGAACTAGAACAGAACTAGAACAGAACTAGAACAGAACTAGAACAGAACTAGAACAGAACTAGAACAGAACTAGAACAGAACTAGAACAGAACTAGAACAGAACTAGAACAGAACTAGAACAGAACTAGAACAGAACTAGAACAGAACTAGAACAGAACTAGAACAGAACTAGAACAGAACTAGAACAGAACTAGAACAGAACTAGAACAGAACTAGAACAGAACTAGAACAGAACTAGAACAGAACTAGAACAGAACTAGAACAGAACTAGAACAGAACTAGAACAGAACTAGAACAGAACTAGAACAGAACTAGAACAGAACTAGAACAGAACTAGAACAGAACTAGAACAGAACTAGAACAGAACTAGAACTAGAACTGAACTACAACTAAACTAGAACTGAACTAGAACTGAACTAGAACTGAACTAGAACTGAACTAGAACTGAACTAGAACTGAACTAGAACTGAACTAGAACTGAACTAGAACTGAACTAGAACTGAACTAGAACTGAACTAGAACTGAACTAGAACGGAACTAGAACTGATGTAGAATTGAATTAGAACTATAACTGAATTAGACACTATAAACTAGGCTATAGATTATTGCTAAGAATAGACTATAGAATAGTTACAGATCTAGTTCTAGTTGGTGAGTGATTCTTTAGTCGAGGGGATATTCTAGTCTATGGATGAGTCTATAGTCGTGCCTATATAGGATCATATAGTCTAATCTATAGAATGATCTTGTACCTTATCTATTGCCTATTGATGAGTCTATAAAGTTTGAAGTTTAGTTCTGAGTATAGCCAAACCAACAATTTAGTTTTTCTCTCAGTGTGTTCAAAGTTCTTTGTCTATTCGAACAACAAAAAAAAGGCAGATGTTTTGATTTGCAAAATAAATTAAATAAATCTGCCAATTTAAAAAAAACACAAAGAGAATGAAAAAATCTTTTAAAATGACATAAGAAAAAAGCTAAAATTAATGTAAAAAACCAAAAATCAAACACCTACAATTTCTAAGCAGCTGATGACTACGAGCCACCTCTTGATCAACCAACATACGATCGTTTAGATTTGCAATACGATCATTATTTTCAGCATCATTATCATTACAATAGAATTTAGACAAACCATCAACAGTATCACTAGCACCACCAGCATTATCGTCTTCTACATTAATATTTTCAACATCATGGGCATCATAACCACCAATAAGACGTACAGAATTGGAAAGTTCTACGGTATGTTGATGATGCTGATCACGCTGTTGTTTGTCATCTAAAACAATAATATTATTGTTTTTCTTGTAGTGGTGATTGTTGTTGCTGCTGCTGTGGTTGTTGTTGTTGTTGTGATGAGTATATTGAGTATTTTGGGAGATACCATTACTTTGCATTTCCCAATCATGTATATTTTTGTTATTATTGTTATATTGAAACATGTTATTGTTGCTGTGTTGTTGTTGTTGTTTGTATTAATTATATTTTTATTTTGATGATTTTTTAACAAATTACTGTTGCTTTTATTTAATTGTTTAATTTGTAAAGTTTTCGTTGGTGAATCGGGGGTTAAAGTCATGGTCGAGTTGGTGGGACTGGTGGTACTATCGGGCATTGAGCTAGTTTGTGCTGTTGCTGCAGTTGAAGAATTTTGCCAAAAACATAATGTAGCGGCAGACATTTTGTTATTAAAATTTTCTTTAGTTTTGATAGTTTTTAAAATTTTTATTTAAAATTTTTCTTTTTCTTTATTTAAAGTTTATTTTCATTTATAGAGATTATTTTGTAGTTTCGTTTATAATTTCTTTCGGCAAATTCTATTTTTTCGTGTAAACATTGTTGTTTTTATGGCACAATTTAAACGCAAAGAGATACAAATTTTGAAAAGAAAAAAATCATAATTATGACTAAAATTTATGTTAATTAGTTTTTGTGTTTAACCCTTTTGGAGGCAGAGGGGGTCTAAAAAGCAAACTTTAGTTACAGAGTATCATTGTTGAAAAGTATTAAGAACAATATCGCAAAAAATTCTGTTTAAATAAACAGAAATTTCTATTAGATTTCTTATTTAAAGAAAAGTACTTTAACTAAACCAAAAAGTACTTTTTTCCTTCAAAAGTGTTGTTTGTAAAAAAATCTCAAAACAAACAACAAAAACAACATAAAATTGTCAAATACTTATGTCCCTAGTACTAATTAATAAAAAAATACCATTTAGATACCAAAAAAGTACTTTTTAGAGAAAAGTACTAAAATTTAAAAAAAGTACTTTTTAAAAAAAAAATTCAAATTTTTAAAAATGTCAACTTTTCTTATATTTGTAACAAACTATAGTAAAAAACAATATTTTGGTACTTTTTTTTTAAAAAAGTATTAAAAACTAAAAAAGTACTTTTTTCCAAAAACTAAAATTTTTGCAAAATTTTATATTTTTTTTGTTTATTTATGAAAAGAAATCACTAAAAACATTAGTAAGTACTTTTTTGGAAAAAATACTAAAATGTAAAAAAGTACTTTTTCCAAAAATTAAAATGTTTGCAAAATTTTATAATTTTTATCTTATTTATGGAAAGTTATCACTAAAAACACTTTTAGGTACTTTTTTTAACAAATAGTACTAAAATTTATAAAAAGTACTTTTTTAAAAAACTTTATAAAAAAAAAAGTAATATTTATGCTAAACTTTTATATTCTGTCACTTATTTAGGCAAAGCAAAGAAATCTTTAAAAACACAATTAGGTACTTTTTACAAAAAGTACTAAATTGTTAAAAAGTACTTTTTTTAAAAACATTGAAATTCTACAAAAAATTAAATGGTTCTTATATTTTGTAAAAAAAAATAATAAAAAAACTAAATTTTTGTACTTTTTTGTAATAGGCACTAAAATGTAAAAAAGTACTTTTTCCCAAAAACTCCCAAATTAAGATAAAACTGATATTTATGTAAAATTTTTATATTTTGTCGCTTATTTATGCAAAGAAATCTTTAAAAATACATTTAGGTACTTTTTTAAAAAAAAATACCAAAATTATTAAAAAGTATTTTTTCAAAAAATTCCCCAACTAAGCAAGAAGTAATATTAATGCAAAATTTTTATATTTTAACACAAAATTATGAAAATTGCAATTACTAAAAACACTTCTAGGTACTTTTTTTAAAAAAAAGTACCAAAATTATAAAAAAGTATTTTTTCCCAAAAACTTCCCAATTAAGCAAAAAGTAATATTAATGCAAAATTTTATATTTTAACACATAATTTTGAAAATTATAATTACTAAAAACACTGTTAGGTACTTTTTTCTAAAATAAGTATCAAAATTGTAAAAAGTACTATTTCCCAAAAACCCCAAATTAAGCTAAAAGTGATATTATGTAAAATTTTTTATTTTGTTACTATTTATGCAAAGAAATTTAAAAATACATTAAGGTACTTTTTTCTAAAAAGTACTTAAATTTAAAAAAGTAATTTTTCCCAAAAACTCCTAAATCAAGCAAAAAGTAATTTTTTTGCAAATTTTTATCTCTTCTCACTTATTAATGAAAAGTAAACACTTTTAGGTACTTTTTTACAAGAAAAAAGTACTTTTTCCCAAAAACTTTCAAATTAAGCAAAAAGTAATATTAATGCAAAATTTTTATATTTTCACATAATTATGAAAATTAATTACTAAACACACATTTATTTACTTTTTTTACAAAAAGTACTAAAATTGTAAAAAGTACTCTTTCCCAAAAATTCCTAAATCAAGCAAAAAGTAATTTTTTGCAAAATTTGTATCTTTTTAAACATAATTATGAAAATTAATTACTAAAAAAACTTTTAAGTACTTTTTTCTAAAATAAGTACCAAAATTATAAAAAGTACTTTTTCCCAAAAACTCCTAAAATGAAGAAAAAAGTAATATGAATGCAATAAGTTTATATTTTAATACTTAATTATGAAAATTAATGACTGAAAACACATTTAAGTACTTTTTTTAAAAAAAAAGTACCAAAATTGTAAAAAAGTACTTTTTTTTAAAAACTCCCAAAATTGAACCAAAAACAAATATTTGGCATATTTATGCTAAAATTAGTTTTATTTTGCCTTTTTTATTAAAAGTACTAAATATTTTATGAAAAATTCAGAGAAATGTGCATTAATTTTAGCATCCAAAAAGGGTTAAACAAATTCCGATATAAATTATAAATAATATTTTGAATATTTTTGTTGTTTTACTTCAAATTTCCTGTATTTGTTTTGCCACTTTTCAATACAAATTATCTAATTTTATTCAATTTGTTCGAAGATTTTTTCAAAACTTTTTAAACACAATTTCGTAACTTTTATTTTTTTTTAGAAAATCTTATAATTTTTCTACAGATTGTATAATATTTTTATTACATTTTCGTTTACTTCTACTGTTTGAAAACTTTTTTTGTATATTTTTTTAATTTTAAACAAACTTTTTATCAAATTTTTCTTTTAATATTTGAAATATATTTTTTCTTTATATTTATGCAAAATTTTTGAAATTCTTTCTAATCACCAAACTAAACAAATATTTTTTTATGAATTTCAAAATTATTAATTTTTCTTTCAGCCAAAGCAAAACAAATTGCTTTGTTTAAATTATTTGTGCGTTTAGTATAATATTTAAATATTTTTTTTTTTTTCAATTTTTCGCAAAAATCTTTTAAAATTTCAACAATTTGCCTTAAACCGTACGATACAAAATTTCAACGAAAACTGCAATACTACAAAATTGAAAATGTTATTTTCCCAAATGAAAACAATACAAAAGACCAAAAACAAAAAGCTACCAAAAAAAAAAGAAATTCTCAATTAAAAATGTGTTTAATTTTAAAACCCCTCGAATTTATCAAACAGCAACAACAACAACACCCAACAAAAACATGCCAAAACAAAATTAAAACAACAACAAATATTTTATAAAATTAAGCGAATAAATGGCATTAAAGAAAAAATTTATAAAAAAAAATATCTAAAATAAAATTAAATCAGACGAAAAAAAAATCGAAAAAATAAAATATTTAAGAAAAATTTTCTCTCTGAGAGAGAGAGGAAGAATATTTTGTGTAAAAGTTAAAAATATAAATAATTTTTTCTTAATTCAAAATACTCGTGATCATTCATTTATAAGTGACGACAAATTTTTGTGACAAAGAAAGACATAGAAAAAAGTCGGCGAAAACTGTCAAGACTCATACACCAGGAAATTTAAAATGGAGACAAAACATATACAATGAGGTGTTTTTCCATACAGATTGACTCACCTTTATCAGAAAGACATAAATTCAAATGTGCTTCTGTTTTGTTCTGTTCTAGTTCTGTTCTAGTTTTATTCTAGTTCTGTTCTAGTTCTAGCTCTGTTCTAGTTCTGTTCTAGTCCTGTTCTAGTTCTGTTCTAGGTTTGTTCTACTTCTGTTCTAGTTCTTTCTAGTTCTGTTCTAGTTCTGTTCTAGTTCTGTTCTAGTTCTGTTCTAGTTCTGTTCTAGTTCTGTTCTAGTTCTGTTCTAGTTCTGTTCTAGTTCTGTTCTAGTTCTGTTCTAGTTCTGTTCTAGTTCTGTTCTAGTTCTGTTCTAGTTCTGTTCTAGTTCTGTTTCTAGTTCTGTTCTAGTTCTGTTCTAGTTCTGTTCTAGTTTCTGTTCTAGTTCTGTTCTGTTCTAGTTCTGTTCTGTTCTAGTTCTGTTCTAGTTCTGTTTTAGTTCTGTTCTAGTTCTGTTCTAGTGTTTTTCCATACAGATTGACTCACCTTTTAGTCAGAAAGACATAAATTCAAATGTGCTTCTGTTTTGTTCTGTTCTAGTTCTGTTCTAGCTTTATTCTAGTTCTGTTCTAGTTCTAGCTCTGTTCTAGTTCTGTTCTAGTTCTGTTCTAGTTCTGTTCTAGTTCTGTTCTAGTTTGTTCTAGTTCTGTTCTAGTTCTGTTCTAGTTCTGTTCTAGTTCTGTTCTAGTTCTGTTTAGTTCTGTTCTAGTTCTGTTCTAGTTCTGTTCTAGTTCTGTTCTAGTTCTGTTCTAGTTCTGTTCTAGTTCTGTTCTAGT